TAAATGCATTAATCAAATGCTAAGTAGCAACCTTTGTTAGGATTTTCTACTAAGGAAATTCACAAGCTGGAAAAAACATTTTGTTGATCTAACACGAATTGACACTGAAGAACATTGCCATGGTAGGGGGCTGTTAGAAATTAGAGAAATCAGCCCCAGAAAACCATGTTTTAAAGTTGAGGAAACTGAGGCTCAGGGAAAGAACAGAACTTACCAGAGGCCCTCCAACAAGCTCAAGGAAAATCTCCGCAGTCTTCTGCCTTCCAGACCAGCCTAATGTTTCATGCTCAGGTGAAAAGCCAGTACTCCCAAGCAGAGGTGGCTTTGACACTGTGACGGTAAAGAAATAGTCTTTTTAAACAAATGTTCTAAGACACAAGCCGTATTTCATATTCAGCTGCCTAAACCAGGTCTTCATCTAAATCGTTCTGTGGCACAGGGTGGATTTGTTCAGCATTGTGCCTCTGAGGACAAGGAGCTGGTGGTCTCTTCATTTCAATTTGGTCCCATCTTTCTACTGTTCAACCTCCAAAGGTGGCCGGGAGGCTGGGGAACAGCTGGACAGATGAAGTCAGAAATTGAGGGTTCAAGTCCCAGCTCAGTCACTCAGGGGCTTTTATCTTTTTTGAACCTCAGCATCTTCAATTGTAATAAATCCTTCCTGGATTGTTTGTGAGTAAATGGAATAGTGTGTGTGAAATGATCAGCAAGGAGGTGGTCCTTTTCCATGTAAGGCTTCTTATCCCCAAATTTTCTTTCTCTTATTTCATGGGAAAAGGGTGACTTCCTCCGCCTTTCAGGCAATAATTGACCAGAGGTAGTGGGCCCAGGACAGTTCACACCACGCAGTGAAGGAAGCCACTTTCTCACCCAGTTTTCTCCTACTTTGCAAGAGAGGCTCCAGGCCCTGCACAATCTCTCACCTCCCTCCTCTGCTAAAGGATGGGCAACTGAGCCATCCTCAAATCTCCTCTCAGACCCTGCTGGAGTGTCAGAGGGACTTAAGAGGCCACAGGGATAGAGATAATGCAATTGCTTTAACAACAATCTATGCACTGATGTTTTTAGAGCACTCTGCACTTTAAGTACTATTTTTTTCTATGTGTGTTGAACCTCGTTTAATCCTTCCAACAATTCTACAAAGTTCACATTACTATACCCACTTTACAGAAGCAAAAACTGAGATTGGCAGAGACCAAGTGACTATCCAAAGTAACAAAGCTGGGAAGGGGCCACTCTAGGGTTTAAGACCCCAGGAATCTATGTTCTGTTACTTTGCCCTCTCCCAGGACTCACATTATCTCTGTCTCAAGGGGCAAATCAGAGTTCAGCAGGGACCCTGGGCTCTCCTTCCCCCCCTTTTAGCCTGCAGGTCCACTGGGCCAACAGCCTGGCCGGCAAGGGTCGGTCGGGTCCATCTGCTGGGAAGCAGATCAGTGGCCAGGAGGAGAAACCACTCAGAGAGTAACAGGTGACCTTCAGGAGTCATTGAGAAAGTGCTGATGTAGCAGGATGTGGTATAACAGTGGCCCTGAGGCCCACAGGAGGGACATCTATCTGATTGGGAGTGTGATGTGGGCAGATGATTCCTAGAGATAGTCACAGCCAGGTTGTCTGGGAAAAAGAAAACAGAGAGAGGCCCAGCTGGAGTAGGCAGAAGCTCCCAGTGTTGGAGCTCAGAACCCAGCAAGCTCTAGTCCTGAGCAGGTCAAGGGTCCAATCCCTATAACCAGAGAGTCAGCTGTGGACTCTGATTTAGGGAGGACACCCACAATACCTGGGGGAGGGAAGACACGTGTCCTGGAAGAAGTCACCTGGACATTCGTAGACATGAGCAAACTGTCTCTAACGGGGCCTGCACTTGTTTGCAGTGTGTGTGTGTGTGTGTGTGTGTGTGTGTGTTGCCTGGGACAGTGTCTCTGTGTCTCTCTGTGAGAAGGCAGGAGTGGGCATGTATGAGGAGCCGTGTTAGGGCATGTGATGGTGTGTCTACACACAGGTGAACGGGTCATGCCTCCGTGAGGGGTTTCACGCCCACAACTCAGCTGAGATGGGGGAGGATGGGGCAGCACTGGGTCCCATCACTAGGAATAGAGGGAGGGCCTGCTTTGTCTTGGAGTCAGGGAGGGCTGCCTGGAAGAGGGGACATTTACTCAATGGGGCCTTCTTCCTGAGACCTGATGGGTGGGGGACAGGCCTAAAGCAGGATTTGTGGAAACTTGTCTTACCAACAAGTCTTAGTTGGTCTGTCATCCCAGAGCAGACTGAGATGGGCCAAACGGTGTGCTGAGCTAGGACAGTTAAGTGGCCTGCACCCTGAAATAGAAACCCAATTTCCCATAAAGTCTCGTGTTCCTGTAAGGAAAAGAAGCAACCAGGACACCTCCCAAAGCCTCTGCCAACTCTTGGAGTTGGGGCTCTTGAGAACCTTCTGGTGGGTACTTCCCTGCCCAGACTGACCTGGCTTTTCATGCACAATCCAGAAGGAGAGAGCTGGGCACTGCCCCTGTGACCAGGCTGACATGGACAGCAGAGCTCAGCTTAGTATCTCTGGCCTGGATGTTGGCTGCTGGAATCTCTCTTCTAGTACCACCTCTCATGGCTGTGATTTGGGACAAGCCTTTGCAGCAGCTGGAGCCTCAGTTTCCTCATCCGTCAGATGGGATGATCATCATCTCTCCCTTACCTCAGTTAATGCATACAGAGACCAAAGTACTGACCCTTAGTAGGTGTGCAGCCTTAAGAAAATCATTGAACCTGCTGAAGTCCAGTTTGCCCATCTGTAAAACAGAGACAACAACAGCAAATGAGATCATATGATGAAGAGCACTTTCAACTTTAAAAAACAGACAGCATTTAAGAGGGGGTCACCTGAGAGGTGGAGGCCGGGTCCTCAGCCCTCAGTCCATCGCCTCCTCTAGTTGGGCTTTTCTCAGAAGATCTAGGCCTTTTGCATGTTGTTTCAGGGGTCAAGGAAACCCAAACAGGGGACTCCGAGACCCCAAGGACAGGAAGGCCCAGGGACAGAGCCCACCAGTCAGAAGGCACTGGCCCGTGGCTCCCTGGAGCTGCACAGCAATGATTCAGGAAAAGGCTGACAAGGATATTAGCAGTGTGGGTTTTTTTAAAATCCCGAGTCCAGAGAAAATGCACGGTCAGGAATAAAGGCACCCAAGAGAGCAAGGAGAAAGAGAAATAATCAGAATTAGCCAGCGGGCGGGCAGCAGGAGCAGGGGCAAAGCAGCCCCACAGAGGGTCGGAAGCCTCTCCAGGACCCCTGGCTAGGAAGTGTCCAGGAGTGGGCAGGCCCAGACAGGTATGCATGGGAACCTGGGCAGATTGGAGCCCAGCAAGCAGGCAGAATGGAGGAAGAGGAGAAAGAAGCCATCACCAGGTGAGTCCAGCACCCCCAGGGCTGTCGTGCACCCCTTTGGACCCCTCCGGTCATGAGGCAGCGCAAAGGGTGCTGCCCCAGAGGCTTGAGTTCTCTGTTCCGCATTGTCCACCTGGCTCTAGATGTGGGCACTTGGGTTGGGGGGCAGCCAAGAGGCCGCTCAGACACTGCAGAGAGATTGCACAAGACTAGGCAGGCAGGAGGCCTCCGCACACACCTTCCAAGGCTAAAATGAGACACGGATGACAGAGACCATGGCCGAGGAGAGTCACGGGGGTTCTTCCTCTGCAGTTGAATAGGGTATGTCAAGGCATTCTGGGAAGTGGTCCCAGAGCCTGCTGTGAAAACAGAAATGAAAATGATTTTGATGAGCTGGGCCAGAGAAATCCATTGATAAGGGCCACAGGACTGACTTGGTTCCTAACTGAAACCTGCTTCTTGCAAGTCGTTTATCGAGCAGATTGGTGAAGAAGCCTTGGTCCCATGTGTGCGTGCGTGCGTGCGTGCATGCGTGCGAGTGTGTGTGTGTGTGTGTGTGTGTGTGTGTGTGTTGGGGGAGGGCAGAATTAATACATCAGCCCCTGATCCCACTGCAGATTCCAGATTAATGGAGTATAAATTAATGACAAACAAAATGTGCATGGGTTTCCAACACCCCTGACTCCAGTCCTTGGGCAAAGTGCTTCCCTGAGCTGCTGCTCAGTGAATTGAACGGAGAGAGAGAAACGATGTTGCATGTCCCCAAGTCACCCCTGCTGTGGGGGGACCACAGCACTCATCAGTCCAACTTTCGTATCATGACAAGCCTCACATTGAAGCTTTGACAGCATCCGTGTTGATGGCGCAATTATTCAGAATTAAATATTGGATTGTTAAAAGTATTCATTGGTTGACTAAAATATCTTTTATACCACAGTTTTGTTGATCCCATTTTGGCCTTTTTATTCTTCCATATTTTAATATATTAGGAGCCCTTGATAAATAAAAATCCTCAGGGCGTCTCTTGTCCTCTGACCTCTGGACCTCATTCCCGGTTACCATTACATTAGTTCTCTTCACCCACAATTGGAGGTAAATTGGGATCGAATTCAGGTGAAGTAGAGAAGGGGAAGAGGGTTGTTTCCCTGGGACATTGCTGATGGTCCAAACCTCTCTGTGAAAAGCTCCAAATTACACAACCGACGCAGGGAGCCTGGAAGATTTTTCCCAAGAACCACTGCGCTCCTGGCCTCAATCTCTCTCACCAGAGCTGCGCAGCCTCTGCTGTGCCAGGGTCCCTCCTGCACTTGTACTCCTCTCTGGGGGGCCAGATCCAGACAGGAGTCACCTGGACCTCTCACCTCCCTGCCCCACTCTCTCTGGGTCACCTATGTGAACATCAACCCCAAACCCAAATCACAACCCCCCAAATTTAATTTATTTCTACCTAAACAAGTTCTTTTATCATAAAGCAATAAATTTGTCTTGGTGCTAGCAATTTGTTGCGGGTGACATAACATTGCAAATTGATTAATCGCTACTGTACGCCGCAAAATGAGAAAAGCAAGGAATTATTATGAATAGCGTCCGTCTTTTACGGGAGGGATTCATTATTCAAAAGTGCTCGCTGGTGCTTACATGTGCCCTCGGTGCAGATTACATCCATTTGCAGACTTCCCACATCATGCTTACACAAATCAACAAACGTGCATTTATTAAGACATAGAATGAAAGCTATTTAAAAGTGAAAAATGGCCTTTTGCGTTACTTTTCTTCGAAGAAGGCAAATCTGGGTGGGATGTTCCTGGGAAGCAGCCCCAACGGTTATCACATGCGTGTCTCTGGGTTCTGTGCATGCTGGCTCGGGCAGGCACTATCCAAACTGCCTGCTCTGCCTTGGACGGCTCCAGTCTGAGAAACACCCCACCAGCAGTTCTGGAACCCTCTCTCTGGCTCAGGAGAATTCAGCCAGCAGCCATCTCTGCCTGCCAGGGGAATGCAGTAGATGAGAGTTTTCCATCCTCTGAAAATGAGCTTCTTGATGGTCCCCTGGGAAAGGGAAGGAAACAAATATTAACTGAGCACTGACTCTGTACCAGACACTATCCCGAATGTTTTCCTTGGTTTGCTAGGGTAAGTCTGTCTACCTCCCTGGACCTTATGGGGTAGTTATAAAGATCAAGTGAATTGACACATGTACAGAAAGCACATAGTAAATGCTCAATACATGGTAGCTGTTGTCACCATTATAACTTTAATTATTTTCAAGGTCAGTGTTATTACTACCATTTTGCAAGTGGAGAAACTGAGGTTCGGTACCGTTGTAAGAATGCTCAAATCACACAATGAGGAAGAGATCAGGGCTGAGTTTAGAATCTGGCTCTAAAACTTTATGCTCTTTTTTTTCTACCAAGCACCCCACAGCTCCTTGGCAGTCAAAATAGGGCATATTTGCTGCCCCTCACTTAATGGAGGAGGCCACAATCCACTCTTGAGCTGTTTGCTCTTTGCCTTCAGATGTTCCGGACAGGACTTTTGAGAGTCTGGAGATTTTATGACCTGCCCCTAACTGTTCCCACATCAGTAGAGTCTCATCCTTCTCCAACCTGGTTCCTTCCATCCTCTTGTCCCATTATTGAGGACACTCCCAGTAAAGGCTGACGGGCAGCTCACAACTCCAGTATTGATCACTCCTGCTGAACTCATGCTTTGCTTAAAAATAGACTGAGATCTCAACTTTCACATTCTAATTAGATTTCAAAGCAACTTTTATAAAATGAGAAGGCCTGCATTATTTCTCTACTGCATAGAAGTCCATTAACCACTCCACAGCCAGACTAAAGTCTCTATTAATCCCTGCTGCCACCCATCAGACACAGGCGTTACTCATCCTCTTCCGAGAAAGCTGCACCGAACCACAGGCCCGTCTCCAGGTGCCCAGAAGCCAGGGATGGTCGGGTTACAAGCCTGGGCATATGGCAGAAACTGAGAGTTGGCCTCTCTGGGCACATCTCACAAAACAATGTTTCTCAAGGGATATTCCTCAAGCCACCTGCACTGAGATCATCCAGGGGTTTATACGCTGTGCAAACTCTGGGTCTCCCCCGACCTTCTACAGCATCATCTGCAGGAGTGACCTGACAATCTGAATGTCTGATAAATTCCCCTTAAGATTTTTTTTTCTGCACTCACCTTTGTGAACTATTGTCCCAAATATTTCTCACACTCCCTTCCCGGTTTGATGCCACCAGATTGAATCACTGTTTACTGTAAATCCTGATTGACTCACTGATGCGCCTCATTTAATGAAGGGGAGACAGAACCTAAGAAAGTGTTTGCTCTCCTGAGTCCTGGTTGATTCCTTTTCCGTCAGCTTTCCCCACCTGAAGTCCCTCAGGGCATCCCTGGGCTCCCAGCAAGACCATGGTACCCAGACCAAGCTAGACCAGGGGTCACTTGCAGGATACTCTGTGAAGCTGCTTCGTCTTTGGGCAAGACAGTCGATTCCTAGACAGAGTGGAGGCGACAAGGGCATCTCCAGGTAGTCCTGGGCTGTTTTCATAATAGTCAAAGCTCCAAAGTTGTTCTGTACTTCTGTCCCTGACTGTCATTATCACAGTCACTATTTTTTGTGTGCCCTTGAGTGTAGCCATTTTGAAATGTTAGCCTGCGTCAGAATCACCTGGAAAGCTTGCGGAGGCCCAGAATGCTGGGCCCTACTTCCTAGAGCTTCTGACTCAGAAGATCTGGGTGGGACCTGAGAATTTGCATTTCTAACCAGTTCCCAGGTACTAGGACTGCTGGTCCAAGTACGAGATTTTGGAACTCTAGATTCTCAGCTCCATGTTATATCCCCAGCACTCAGTACATAGTAGGAGCTCAATTTGTGTTTGCAGAATGAATGAGTAAATGAGTAAATGATAGGAACTGCTTTGCAAGCCCTCTAACTGGGAATCCTCACTCCATTCCACTTTGCCTGGGTTTCCAGCATCTGCCAGACATGGGTAAGAACACCCAAGAGGACCATGTGTCCCGAGACAGGTCAGAGTTTGTGGCTGCTCACATCAACCGTCACAGATCTGGTCTCCCTAGGTTAGGAAGCTATGCAGGGAGCGAGGCAGCCTATTCTGGCCTTGCTGAGGGTAACAGCAATTTTTCCTGTCTCCAAACACTTCCCATCACATCCTAGCTGGATGACTTCAGCCTCAGCCCTCAGACTTGAAAGAGCCTCAGTTTCCTCATTTGTGAAGTTGTGCATTGATAATTTTCTCTGGAATAACTGTAAGAATTCAATGTGTATGGGCATGAAAAGGGCCCAGTAGCATCTGGCACATGTGGCGGGTGGGGGGGCTGGTGGATGTCTGCTCCCTCATTCATTCCCCACAACTCCCAAACCCTGTGAAATAAGTCCCAGAGATGTTTCAGGAGTAATGAATTCCCTCATTTCAGCTAAACCACCCGTGGTCCTGGTTTTGTGGCGATGTACGATGGAACATGATAAATTATTGTTTTAAGCAGAAGCTTCATTCAAATATCCATTTCCCTGTCAAGTTAATTTTGTCTCAATGTATTTTCGAGCCGGTTTTGACTGGGAGCGGAGATAGTTACATAAACAGAAGAACATTATGTTTGGGGCCTCTTCTCTGAGGAATGGGGAGTTGATGGGTAGGGGCAGGGAAATTTGGGGATTATCAGAGACAAGAACCCCTCACTTCCCAGTCATACCTGGCGGGTGACATAGCTCAGAGGCTTAATTCTCTTCAGTTCATGTCTGTCTGCAGAGGACAACACCTCATCACTCCTTGAATGCCTACTCAGGCCCAGGACATTTCCTGGGGACACCCAAGAATGCAGCCTTACATCCAGTATTCAGTGACACCAAGGGCCAAGACCTCCAGTAGGGTCATCTCACCTCCCTCTTAACCCCTACAGACTTCAGGGTGCATTTCTTAAGAACAAAGACATTCTCTTATAGACATAATACAATGATTGAGATCCAGAATTTAAAATAGGGGCGATACTTGTATCTAGTTTGTGGTCCCTATTCCAATTTTGTCAATTCTCCTAATGATGCTCCATTTATTTTTCCATCCGAGTGTCGCCTCCACGATCACACGTTGCATTCGCATGCCATGTGTCTCCTAACTCCTTCTGTCTGGAGCTGTGTTCCCAGCTTCTCTCTGTCCTTTGTGACCTTGAATGTTTGAAGAGTTCCAGCCGGTTATTTTGTAAAAGAGAACTCAGCTTGAGTTTGTCTGGTGATGCCTCGTGGTTAGATTCTAGTTAAGCATTTTGGGTTGACCTGCTGTGGACACGACATTGAATCCTTCTCGGTGCATCCTGTCTGCTCCGTTACTGATGATGCTGATAGCATCACTTGGGTAAGGTGGCCACCCCAGGTTTCTCCTCTGTGAAGACATTATTGTCACTGTATGACCCATAAGTACCTTGTGGGGAGAGATTTGAGATGGTGTAAGTGTCCTCGCACCCACTCATCTTACTCTCTATTGATGATTCTTGTATAAATCAGTTTTTGCAAAATGGTGATTTTTCCAAATTTGTCATGACTTAGAGTTGGCTTTCTCTGGTTTCCAGCTGTCACTGTACCATAAAGGAAAGTGTTCCAGTGCCCCCATCTGCTTACGTTCATTTGCTTACTGCTAACAGAGTGGACCCAGGGATTCTTGAATTGGTCAGTGTGCTCTCATCCGATGTCAGTGATCTGATTCTTCAATTATATGATCTCACTGAATCCTCAGGACAATTGGGTGATATGTCCACTATTCTCAGACGTCAGACTTCCACCTCAGGCCCCATAGCTATGTCCGTCATTCAGTGGGACTCTGCTTCTCGACTCCCAGCATTAGGCTCTGTCCCCAGCAACACTGCTTTGCCCACAGAGTGCTGTGGAAAAATGTCCTTGTGTCTCTGTGGGCACAATGTCCTTGCTGAGGAGAGAGGAACCCTCACAAGCCTTGATTTCCCACAAGCCCCATGAGAGTGGACCTGCAGGAAGGTGACTTCCATGACATTGTCTTGCTTTTTCCAAGGCAGCTCGGCCCCAGAGACTCAGAGGCCAGTTACTTCATCTGTAAAATAGGTCAGTTTCGTGGGATGTCTGTTGACATGATGCCACCCCAAGAACTCTTGGCATGGGCCACATTTTAAGTCAGCAAGTATGACTGCATGAGCTTGGCCGTCCTGAGCACATCATTCAACAAATACCTTTTGAGCACGTACTGTGTGTCAGGCCCTGGGCTCTCCTGGAGCTAAGGCAGTGAGTAAGTCCGACAAGGTCCTTGATGGAGTTCACAGTCAAGTGGAGTAGATTGTAATCAAATCATCCCCCAAATATATTTCTGATAACCATGCCGATGAGTCCTTTGGGGGAAGGGGACATTTTGATGAACATCTTTGACAGGGGAATTTGACCTTTATCAGGACATCAGAGAAGAAACCATAAAATCAATGGTTTACAACACAGTTTCTTTAAGACCATTATTCAAAGCAGAAAGAAGGAAGCAGAGACTCAGAGAGGTTAAGTAACATCACCCAGAGTTGCACAGTAGCGAAATCTAGATGTAAATCTGGGTCTGCTCACTCCCCAGCGGAGAAATGGTGCAGCTGTCCTGCCAAAGTGTTTCTCTGAGAGTCTCTGGTGATTCTGGGCACAGGGCCTGTGTCCGTCTTTCAGTTTAACATATTTTGTTTCCACCGTGACACTGCAGGGCCCTGCTAAGTGCCATCAGAGGAAATGACTCTCTGATAGGAACAAATATTCTCTAAATCAGTTGTGATTTTTTTTTTTTAAAAGGAGAAAAGCCAGGAAATTTGAAGAAGACTGAGGATTAAAATAGGAGGAGTGGATATGTGCCCATCTTTGGACATCAGAGCTCTGTAACTTGACTAGGCTACTGGCTAAGCATAAGGGTGAGTCTCACCCAGACAGGTTCAAGGCCAGAGCCCAAGCTCTTAAACACAGTACCAGGCTACTCTCCAGGGATGTCCATTTGTCTGTCTGTCTATCTTTCTGTCTGTCTGAGAGACTG